TCAGGCGTTGAATCCCAACCCCAAAATAATATTGACCATTTCAAGTGGCTGCGCATGCTCGTATTCTTTCGCTGATGTTCGAGAACAGCATCAGCAACCAAGACCTTGGCATCCCGAACGATACTATGCACATCTGGGTCACCGTTCCCCTCACCACCCCTCACTGTCGGGTCTGTGTAGAACGCATCGTGCACGAACTGTTGAGGTGTGTGCCACTTCCCTGCAATCAGGCTCGGGTGGATGGCCGGCAACACATCTGCGGCAATAAGCACATGCTCATCATATTCTTGAATTTGATCCCGCCGCCTCTGCTTCACTAGAGCCCCTCTGGATCCAGACTCCTGCTTCGAAAGTGCGAAGCCTCTGCGACGCTGGGCCATGCGACGCTGGGTGCGAACAGACGGCGCTGACGGCGCTGGCGCATTGACAACTGGACCACAAACAATCTCTGCAAGAAATACTAGCGACGATTGCGACTCATGCTGGATATTCTGAACATTGTCAGTGTCAACATTGTCTGTGTCTGGTTGATCGCCGCCGATCGGTGCAGCTAGAAGCGCTAACTCGACTAAACTCATGCCTCATGCGGGCATGCTTGAGGCAAAATGCCCTTCATCGGCTCACAGGACAGGCTACGGAGTAGGCGGACGTGGTCACTGGGGCATTCGGACCCACAATTTGCGGACAAACAACATACGGCATACCTAAGACCTAAGACCTAAGATCTAAGACCTAAAACCTAAAACCTAAAACTTCTAAATCCAAAAATGATGATGACTAGGAGGAGGGGGAGTGCGAGGACAAGGAGAGAGGGTGGGAAGGGAGGAAGGCGAGGGCATTATGAGGCGGGGAGGAGGGAGGGAAAACGGAGGGAAGAGGGAGGAAGAAGGAGGGAGGATAGGGATGCGGATGCGGATTAGGAGGAGAAGGCCGGGAGGGTGAGGGAGAATATACTTAACAAAACGAGAGGGAGGGGGAGGGTAGGAGGAGGAGGGATAAGGAAAGACCGAGGACGGAGGAGGGGGCATCGCCCGGAGAGGTCCTATCGAAAGAAACGATGCGCAAGAGGAGCCGATTTCGATACAGGAAACGCCTCGGGCGGTCGGACTCGTGATCAGTATGGAGGCCCCCGCCCATGTCGGCGCACCCGTCACACACATGTCGTGTCCCCGTAGGAGACTCCACCGAAAGCCCCAGTGGCCGCGTCCGCATGAGGAGCCGATTCCCCCTCTCCATTTCAAATGCATTACGGTGCTGCAGTTGCATTTTTGGGGCTCGTTGCAAAGATATATTTCAAGCGCTCCTCCCCAAAGGGCCCTTCAACGGTGGCAACGTAACATGATAGTGAAAAAGTCAACCTTACAAAACCATGACATCTTGACCATGGACCTTACCCTGAAACCATGGACCTTACCCTGAAACCATGGACCTTACCCATGAACCTTACCCTGAAACCATGAACCTTGACCATGAAATGGGTGTCCTCCTAGATCGCTCTGTTGCGCCACCGTGCGCCGCCTCAATATATGGATACAAGCATGCATGCGTGCATGTATCAAACGCACCGATCGGTCCCAGCGGACTGCGTTCCAGGGGGACAGCAAACCAAACCATTATTCGACGGCGAGTTAGCAGTCGGGACCCCGGGGGGGGGCAGGGGGGACGGGGGAGAGCCATTCTATTTTCAACAAGCTGGACATTACATGAGGTCCTACCAAATAGATGAGGCCGGAGAATCGTGACGCATCGCCGATGCATCGTCGATGCACCGTCGATTCCGCGACGAAGCACCGAAGACGTCGGCGACGCAGCGGTTATACCGGCGCGGATGAAACCAGGCTCCACATCGAGCCGCGCCGTCGATGCATCGGCGATGCGGCGCGATCCTCCAATCCCATTCATCTGGACCCCATCTAGAAGGCCTAGAGTTCGGCTTCGCCAGGGCCTGAAGCCCTCTCAAGGGTGCGGCTGTCTTGGGGCGCTCGACGAACGCGCTCCCTTACTCGCAAAACACCTGCTCGCAAATGGCCTGGATCTGCCCTGGGGGATTTACGATCCATGGTATCGAAGCAACCGTGTGTGTGTGTGTGTGTGTGCGTGTGAGTGTGCGTGTGCGTGTGCGTGTGCGTGTGCGTGTGCGTGTGCGTGTGCGTGTGCGTGTGTGCGTGTGCGTGTGCGTGTGCGTGTGCGTGTGCGTGTGCGTGTGCGTGTGCGTGTGCGTGTGCGTGTGCGTGTGCGTGTGCGTGTGCGTGTGCGTGCGCGTGCGCGTGCGCGTGCGTGCGCGTGCGTGTGCGCGTGCGCGCGTGCGTGTGCGTGCGTGTGCGTGTGCGTGTGCGTGCGTGCGTGTGCGCGTGCGCGCGTGCGGGTGCGTGGCGTGCGCGGGTGCGTGCGCGTGCGGGTGCGGGTGCGGGTGCGGGTGCGGGTGCGTGTGTGTGTGTGTGTGTGTGTTGTGTGTGTGTGTGTGTGGATGTCTGTGTGTGTGTGCGTGCGTGCGTGCGTGCGTGCGTGCGTGCGTGCGTGTGCGTGCGTGCGTGCGTGCGTGCGTGCGTGCGTGCGTGCGTCTGCCGGGCCATCGGGGGCGCACGTCCAGCGACACGGGGGCAACTGACCGCGGCCTGAACCAGCGGGGCCCACTGGGGCAGCTTCAGGACCTCTGGGCAGAACCAGGAAGAACCAGAGCAGGCAATCCCAACAAAGATCACCGACACATAATCGACCCAAAGCTGGCCCTGCCTTCGCAGACGCGCCCAGGGGCCACCCCAGGGGGCCTCCCCAGGGGGTCCATGGGGAATGGCATTCGCCCCATAAACCCACGCTGGCATCGCACGGATAACCAGCACGCGGGCCCCAAGGGCCCCCAGAGGGGGTCCCTCAGGAGCCATCCGCACCATAACCTGGCCCAGGGGCGATCCGACCAGGGAAACGTTCCCAAGCCTTCCTGTCGTCTACCAGGGACGGCGTCCTGGCACTACAAAGCAAACCCATCCCATCGTCTACCGGAGACTGCGTCTCGGCACGATGGGGCGCCCAGCCGTCTCCCGAGGAGTGCTTCTCGGCACCGCCAGGCATCTGCCCAGCATCGCACGGATAACTGGCGGGAGCTCGGGCAATCGAGGCAAGATCCAGCAACGGCCCCGCGGCCGTCGGGAGGCAGCACGCCGCGCGTCTGGCTTCCAATGGCCAGGCTCAGCCGTCCCGCAACGTCTGCCTTCCATTGGCCAGGTTCAGCCATCGCAGCCACTATGGCCGCTTGTACGCTTGCCGCCTCATCGCCGCCGATGGCGCTCCTTGAGGCGCTCCGCGCGCTGGCGCCTGACGGCGGCGTTCAGCTCCACGAGCTGCGTCTCGAGGTCGACGAACGCACCCGCGACCACGTGCTCTCTGAGCACCGCTAGCCTGCGGGTGCCGCGCGGCTGTCACTGCGCAATCATGGCTGCGTCGCCGTGGTCGTCCACCGTGTCTTCGTCCGCTCCGTCCTCTTCCTCCTCCACGTTCTCCCCGACGCCACCGAGGAGGGAGGTCGGATGGGGCTCGGATTCCTCGCCCTCCAGCTCGCCGTGCTGGTCGTCTGGGTCTGGCGGTGCGGGCTGACTAGCGGGCTCTGCGTCGTGCTGGGCATCTGCTCGGGCGTCGGCGGCGGCGGCGCCGACCTCCGCGTATCCGCCGTCGCCGCCGCCTCTGCCGATCACCTCCGCCTCGGGCACCCACCAACGCGCACCTGACTCGAAGGGCCGAGGTGCGCCTGCCGGGGGAGGCAGTTCGCTGCGCGCAGGGCGGCTCCGTGCCATCGCCACCTCCTGTCACGCTACGGGCGCCGCCTCGATCGCCGTCCGAACCGCGGGCACCTGCCGATGCCTCGAAGGCCACCGCCACGGCTGTCTGAGCCTCCGCGGAAGCCTGGGCCGTCTCGGCACCTCGGCTGCACGCCCGCTGGGGCGCCATTCCCGCTGGCCTGCGCGCCGCGCCTCCCGCGGAGCTCGCGTTGCGGCATCGCGCGCACCGCCGCCGCAGGCAGCGCAGGGTGGTGGCACACCACGTTGCGCCTCCCCACCCCCCATGGCACTCACGCCCGTCTCGCGGATGTCCGCGTCGAGCACGGGCGCGACGAGCGCCAGGCGCTCCACCGCCGCGACCTTCGGCTCGGGAGTGCCGCTCGCGGCCGCCGCCCCTGCGGCCTCCGTCACGCCGCATTCGGGCACCGAGGCTGCGCGGGCGGCCGCCAGGGCCGTAGCCTCGCCCGCAGCCGCCGCGTGGCGCAGGTCGGCCTGCAGGCACTCCACGCGCATCTCGAGCTCGAGGACGCGTTGCAACGCCGCCGCCAGGCGCCCTTCCACGGCCCCACGGGCGGCGGCTTGCCTGGCACGGCGCACCAGCCACGGCGACGGCGCGGCCGCTGCGGCCCCAGGGAGCTCCGCCGCCGCTGGGGCAGCCCTGCACCCGGCCATAGCCACTGCCCGGCAGAGCCAAGCAGACGCCCCCCGAGCGAGAGGGGACAAAGCGAGGACACCTGCCACGGCCGCGCGGTCGAGGTCTTGAGCCAAAATGGCTACGTGTGTGTGTGTGTGTGTGTATTGTTTGTGTGTTGTGTGTGTTGTGTGTGGTTGTGTGTGTGTTGTGTGGTGTGTTGTGTGGTGTGTTGTGTCTGTGTCTGTGTCTGTGCCTGTGCCTGTGCCTGTGCCTGTCTCTGTGTGTGTCTGTGTCTGTGTCTGTGTCTGTGTCTCTGTGTCTCTGTGTCTCTGTGTTTGTGTGTTTCGGACGTCTGCGATCATTGTCAACCCGTATCATAAGAATGCACGAGAAGATTGCAAGGGCCTCGGAGGGTCATGTTAACGCTTTTCGAGCGAGGTTGGCCAGCGAAAGTGGGTGAGGTTTGGCCGAAGGGGCAAGGGTACAAGGGTAGCCTCGGAAAGCCGCTCATCCCTACTATGCGGGCTGACTGCAGGCACTCTGCGAGCAGTGGGACGCGCTCGGTGAGGAGCGTCGTTTGGCTTCCCAGGGGGCCGGAAGCCCTCCTGCTTGGGCATGACCCGCGGCATGCCGGGCGTCTTCTCACGGATGTCGTTCTTGCGCACCCTGCCCTCCTGCCACTCGCCGTCGTCGGGCGGGGGGATCAGGACGTCGATCCCCTCGCTGTCTATGCCTGCGGGGGTGTCCCATGAGGCGAGGCCCAACCCATGAGCTGCCGATGGCCTGCAGACTGCGGGCGTGCTGCGCATCATGCTCCTGCTGCTCCTCCGCCTCCCCGCCCCTCCTCGGCTGCCTCAGTCACCCGCCTCCTCTGCCGTCAGCTCTACCCGGCCATCTCCCCCACCCTCCGTGCTCTCGTCGTTCCCCTCCAAGTCCTCGCCGCCCCCCCCCCCGAAACGTCCCGCCCATCCTCCTCTTCGTCCTTCTCGAGCGGCAAACGAATGAGTATGTGGCCTCTGGCCAAGACACCTGGCGTCTCAACGGCCGCGGCGACACCGACAGCGAGTTCTGTCCAACATGTGGAAGAACTGATGTCGGTCTCTGTCTCCTCTCCTCCTCCTCTTACTCCTCCTGCCCCCCCTTCTCATCCTCCATTTTCGAACCCATTTCGATCGATGAACCAGGACGCTGGCACGCCCAAGAGAACTGCAGCCTTGGGTCACACTATTATCCATCGATCGGCTTCTCCCGCTGGACCGCTGGGAAGGTCCTACCAGTTTACCACGCCAGGAAGCCCCCAGGAGGTCCCACGAGGACCCCAAGGGGCCCTCGTGGGACCTCCTGGGGGCTTCCTTCGAAGGAGGCACAACGCCATTCCCTGGCGCGCGGAGCGCGCCTGGGGCGGTGCCGCCAGGGGGGTCGCCAGCGCGGATCCAAGAAATCCGCGCGGAGCGCCGAAACTTTCCGTCTACGGCGTTTTTCTTCGCCGACTCCTGAGATCTTCTGGGGGCCCCTCGGGGTCCCCGTGAGACCTCCTGGGGGGCTTCCTGGGGCCTTCGGGAGACCTTCGGGAAGCCTGCCTCTGAAGGGGGGGGGGGGGGCTGGGGGGCCTCTTCGGGGCCTCCCAGAATCTTCGTGAGACCTCCTGGGGGGGCTCCCTGGGGGGACTCCGGGTTGGCCCCCCTTTGGGGCCTCCCTCGTGGGGGGGGGCATCTTCGGGGCCTCCCGGGCGGGAGGCGCAGCTCCTGGGCGCCGGACTCCCGTGCTGTGCCGCCGGGCGCCTCCTTCCACGGCCCTCGCCAGGGAGGGCGCGGACGGGAAGTCCTCCTCCTCCTCCTCCTCCTCCTCCTCCTCCTCCTCCTCCTCATCATCATCATCCTCCATTCCTTTTTCATATAAAGATGTTCTCCCTGTCGCATCCCGAAACCAGCTGTTAGTGTGCGCCGGGCGTTTCACCTGACACTTCCTCACCACCTATGACCCTGAACCTTAAACATGCGGGTCCTTCTCAAAGTGTGGCTCTCGTCTCAGCACCGCGCACATTCTTCTTAACCAACCAACAACTTAGCGCCGCGCATCGCTGTTTCTTCTTATCAGAAGACTATCATGGATTGAGGGCCAGTCGTTTTCAAAATGTGGTTTTCGCCTTCGCGCCGCGCACATTCGTTTTTCAAAAAAGCAAGAGTCTCAAAGCAAGAGTCTCACGGATGAAGGGCGGGTGGATTTCAAAGTGAGGTGCTCGCCTCAGCGCCGCGCACACTCGTTTTTAAAAATGTGCAAGAATTTCACGGACTACGACCGGTTCCTGTTCAACATGTGGCTCTCGCCTCAGCGCCGCGCACATTCGCTTCAAGTTGCAAGAGTTTCACGGATTCCCATGATCAACAAACCAGAGATGGTGTTTGGGAAGGATTCAGGATTACTGGGGGTGCAACAGTTCCGCTGTTTCGCGGTGTTGAAGTCCCAGGAATAATGTTCTGGCAAGATTCAAGATCGTCAAGACGCAACAGTCAGGTTGATCCGCGGCGTTGGAATCCCGAAACCAATGCGTTGGCATGCTTCAGGGTCTTCAAACGGTCGTCTTCCAACGAGGCAATTCCCCCAGTGGAAATGAGCCGTTGTAGGGGCCTATGAAGGAGGGAGCTTGGAGGGAGGGTTTATTCCAGCATCGTTGATGACTCTTGGGTTTCCACTGGTCCTCCTCCTCCTCCTCCTCCTCCTCCTCCTCCTCCTCCTCCTCCTCCTCCTCCTCCTCCTCCTCCCTCCTCCACAATTACTCAATATGAATATGATTCTCCCTCTTCCCCTGATGACGGCCTGGGAGTGTCCGACCCCCCCCCCGCGTACTGTTTTTTTACACACAGGTTTCCCTGGAGTTGGGTTTTCGCTTGCATTTTTTTCGAAATGCTGCTCTCGCTGAGGCGCAGGCCTCATTTTCGGGCCCCGCTCGTTCCGAATCGTGCTCCCGCTGCAGCGCTGGCCTCATTTCCGCGCTTCCGCTCGTTTCGACTCGTGCTCCCGCTGCAGCGCTGGCGTCATTTCCCGTGCCATGCCACGGCATGCAATGCAATGCTAGGTTGATACTACGCTTTGCGGTGCTCTTCTACGCCATGCCATGCCGTGCTCTACAATGCATCGCGTACCCTTTCGGGATCATTGCCCTGCTCGACATCCGACTGTGCGAGTAGAGAGGGGATCTGCGCAATGGTAAGGGGTGGGAGGGGTAGGATGTCAGATCTGACGCGAGCGCACCCAGCTTGACCTCCCCCCTCTCCTCCTTCCCCTCGTCCTCCCTGCTCCCCCTTTGCCTCCCTCCTCCCGCCCCCTCCTCGACCGGAGAGCGGCGGGGCGTATCGTGAGGATGCGCGATGAGGATGCCAGTGCCTTGGGCGCCCACTTCGAAGCTTTCCGAGCGCGGCGCGGCCAACAAAAGTGGCCAAGGATGGACCGAGGAGGAGGAGGAGGAGGAGGAGGAGGAGGAGGAGGAGGAGGAGGAGGAGGAGGAGGAGGAGGAGGAGGAGGAGGAGGAGGAGGGGTACCCCCGGGAAGGCTGCGCGTCCTCACCATGCGGCTGGACTGCACCTGGGCCCCGGGCGGCGAGCCAGGGGCGGAAGTGAGAAGGAAAAAATGCCTTGTCACAAGGCGGCGGGGCTTCTCGGCGGCCCTCGCACCTTCCGAGACGTGTGTTCTCTGTCGTCTGGGGATGCATCAAAATCTTCTCGGCAAGCTGTGGAACTTCCGAGCCTGCTGAGAAGGCCCGCCCCTTCTCACTTCCCCCCGGGCTCGCCGCCGAGGGAGAGCGGTGGGGCGGGGAGGCATACCGCACTGCCCCCGCCCGCCACCGCGACAGACTGTGGTGCCAGACTCACTGCCGCGGGGACGCAGTGGGGGCGGGGGGAGCAGGACAGCCCAGAATCGAATCGATAAGTCGGATCGGCGATCGAAATTCATCGGATCGGCCGAAATCGGCAGCCAAGTCGGGAAACGTCGCATCGGAGGAAATCGGCGGGCCAATAAGCCTCCATTGAAAATTTAGACCCCAAACCGGAATCCGAAGCGATTTGAATCGGAATCAGAAGCCGTCGAAATCGAAACGAATCGGAGGAATCGAAATGAGCCCTGGGAAAGGGGAAGAAAACGGGGACCATGACCAAGACTGAGCGCGGAAACATCTTGCCGATCTTGGTCAACGTAGACTTTGGTCAGCGCCACCTCGTGGGTCGCCCTCGCGAATCGGCAACGGCAGCCGTGGACCATGACCAAGATCCGCATCGTCAATGATGGGCCGATATTCCACCACCACTGCCAGAGGTGCGGACAGGGGAGAAGGATGGGGAGGTCCTCCTCCTCCTCCTCCTCCCCATCTTTCTCCCCACCTCCTTCTCCTCCCTCTCCTACCTATGGTAGTGGTGGTCGAGAAACGGCCCACAAGACAAGATCCCGCGACATCTTGGTCCTGGTCCCAATGCTTCTTACCTCCGTGGCCACATGTGAACCCCAACCCCCACGATTTCTGAGGGGGAGTGGGGGTTCACTCCGCTCGGGAGCTCGTGACCAGAATGTTTGATTCGAAACCAAGACGATTTGCAATTTCGGTATCCATTTCGCTCACACTATGGTTCGGTCACAACTACGGGCACGTTTTCGGTCACCGATTTGTTTCGGTCACCTGCCTCTTCGGCTGATCGCGGCCGGGTGCCATGATAGGTCAAGAATCTCTGAGATCCAACGGCTCTGGAGGATCTTGGGCGCTGCGGCCTTCTCAGAGCCTTCCAGAACGCTCTGAGAGCGTTCCAGAACGCTGTGGACTGGTTTTATCCTCATCCTAGCCCCGCTCGACACCCGCCCGCAGCCCAACCTGCGACGGCAGAGGAATTTGCTAAGAGGTCTACGCGAGAGCGACTCGGGTCTGTGGTGATCGGACCCTATGCCCCTCCCAAGATGTCCGTTGCCAGGGGATCTCGTCTCTGACCCTTTACACACAGAGTGCTGGAGCAAAGTGGCTAGCTGCAAGCCTGAGCTGTGAGGACAAGGGTGTGCAGACGGCTTTGAGAGAGAGACGGGACGGAGGGGAGGGGCAGGACCAACCGTAGATGTGAAGTAAGATGCCGAAGGGGACAGGACAGGTTGAATGGGATGCGCGATGGACGGGGTCGGAATGAAATATGACAAGGGAAGTGGTGTTCAACCGGTGAGCTCGAGAGGGGCTCCAGAGAAGAAGCCGGCCGGTGGCTGGTAGCAACGGGCGCTGCACCCCCACAACGATCCTCGGAGCCTATCCCGTGAGCGATGCCCGGTGCGGGTGCCCGAAGCATGCGGCAGCTGCCTACGACAAACGGCCTTCCACGCGCGCAGCATCTTCGCATGGCTTCGGCTTGCAGCGCTCGTTCGGACACGCCTTTGTCGCGCTGCCAGTATGCTTGCGAGGCGTTTCACCAGCGCTTGGCCGGCGCACGGCCAACGCTGCCCAGGCGCTCTTCCGGCATGCCGTTCAGAGCCGGACCCCGTAGGGCTCTCTGGCACTCCGTACCAGGAGCTCGAGAGGGATACAGTGTACAGTGTAGAGGCCCAGAGCTAGATCGATACTTCGCAGAGTTCGCTGGCACTTCTCGCCAAGAGCAAGAGAGGAGGTCGGGCACTGCACGCAGGTATTCCAAGACAGAGCGAGCAGAAGCTTTGTGATAACTGTGAGTCTGTCTTATGAAGTCTGTGGAACATTCACCCACTCGTCGGGGGAATTAGCATTTTCACTACATGCAACCAGTCCGTCTTTGTCTTCCAGTGTATGTGTTGTCTCCCTCGCTGCCATTGCAAGGGCGAATACATGGTCAATCCGAATGTGTTGACCCATGCCCATTGAAGTTTGCATTCTATCTCACTCGTTCCTCGAATCGTGAGGCTCGTCATGCTTGAGAGACGCTTCATAGCTCGAAAATGCCCTTGGTGGTAACCAAATTGACGAGTTACTGTTCGCGTCCACTCCGGGCGCAGAATTGGCCGAGAAGCCAAAATCGGCGACTAGGGCGGTCACCAGTGGCAACGGAGTCGGCGGTCCAGCACAGGCATCCACATCCCTACGCGGGCGCCTCTGCGATACCCGGATTCGGGGATGGGCGAGGGGCGGGGCTTGGACGGGATAGAAGGAGAGGCGATCGACGGAATGGGAGGAGGGAAGAGGAGAGATGAGCGGGGTAGGAAAAAAAAGGGAGGGGGGAGGGGGTCGGGCGCTAGAGAGCAGAGTGAGAGAAGTGATAAGGGGAAGATAGAAGGGGAGAGGACGGGAAAAGGAAGAGGAGCTGAAACTCCAGGTGCCTGTAATGTTGCCCAGGATCCAGTGACCCTGCCCGTACTGCTTGAAGGGTTCTGGGTCGAACGGCGGCTTCTGATGGACCGTGATCTTCGGGATCGTCCCTGGTTTGTAGTCCACATGAGAGACCCACACTGACATCTCCTGGGAAGGAAGATTGACAAGGGATGAGAATCGGATGAGGGCCAGTTGAGCAACCGCGGCTCTCCCGCCCAGCCAAACTTTGAGTAGGGGATCGGCTGCGGAATTTATGTGCCCCAAGATTGACCATCTACAAACAATCTACGCATTCGTACGGATTCGACGAGAAAATCATTTTTGGGGGTAAACCAATTCTGTACTCGATCCCCCGCCCCGAAGCTCCATTTCAAATCTTTCCCCGGACCCCTCCCGCGGGCCATCCCCAGCCCGACGAGGATCCCGACATGGCGACGACGAGCCCCCGGGAGGCTCAACGCAGAGCGACAGACGCAAGTATGCGGCCGCCGCCGTCTCCACGGACCCTTCTCCAGCAAAAAGGACAGACCGCCGACCCCCCTTTGCCGGGGGTGACAAGGCGTGTGAAACATTTGGCCGTCCCCCTCCCCCCCTCACCTTCCCCAGAATCCAAAATCGAGTGCGGGGGGGGGAAGGGTCGGGCATTATCTAATTTTTGTTGGGGCCCAGACAACGAAGGGAGGTGCGCAAGGTGCCTGCATGAATTCACATGCAGTCGGACCTCGCAACACGAACGGCATCACAGACCCGCCCCAGGCGTCCCATCTGCGCCACCGTTGCGAAGCGCGTCGAGATGCCACCCTGGGACACGGCCACCGGTACCACCCCCACTTGGCCGCCAGCCTCAATTAACGGAGGCCCCGTTGCCCAAGGACGTAAGTTACCACGCCCCCCACGTCGGGGGACCCAGGCAGCCCTAAACGCACCCCTGGGGCCTCGAGGCCCCGGGGTGCGCTGGCCTGTAACTCCATGCTCCGCCGACGCCAAGATCTCAAGATGCTGCCCGAAAAGGGCCAAGGAGAGCTCCAGCAAGCTGGCCAGGCGACGAAGGAGGACCTCCAAATGCCCCCCAAGACGGCAAGACCCAAACCCGAAAGTGGCCCCAAAACGGGGGACCCGCAAAGGTCCTGGGATCCCGCCCCCAGAATATGGCCCCCGAGACCTCCATCTGGCTCCAAAAAGACCCCCGAAAGCGCCCCATAAAAGGTGTTCCAGACCCCCCGGTGGCCTCGACAAAATTCCAAGACGCCGCCACCTGGGCCGCCAGCGGGCCCCGAAAATGCCGCCACAAACTTCCGGATATTTCAACCTAAACAAAAAAAACAAGTGAGACCCCCAAGCGCCCGAGAATCCCCAACGGCACCCCCCCAGCTGCACGAAGGCGAACCCACATGAAGCCCAGGCAACATTACAAACCGCCCCGCCGTCCTCGACATAATCCTTCTCTTCCTCCTTCCTCTCGCAATTGTCTTTACATATATCATAATTGTCCCACGGAATTGTAGCAATCATCCGCGACGCAATTTGGGAACATATCGTTTCACGTACGGCACGCAGCATATTTCAATGCCCCCTCCCGGGAGACGCAAAATAAGTGGGACTCATGCGCGGAATCACGATTACGCGGCGCCCACCCACCCCACGCACCTGGAGATTTTGAAAGCATCCCGCTCTCGCGACGGCGCCCAAGAAACAGCCAGCAGACGCCTGGAAAGCTCGGGCGGGGCTTGGAGACGCTCGCCAAGACGCCCGCAAGGCATCATCTCGTCTGCGGGTGCGCAGCATGGCGTGCCTCTTGAGCCAGGCAGCGACGACGATGGGAAGAAGTAGCAACGACTATCCGAATGAACGCTGGCTCGCGGATGCTGAATCTGCAAGATCGCGAGTTCGCCGACGGCGCGTTCGCTTGAGCAGATGCCGAAGGTTCGCGCGACACGCGCAGGCGAGTCCGCCTCAATGGAGGCGCCCCACAGGGGCCCGAGCAGATGGGGTCGGAGGCTCGAGTCGCACATCGGCGATGAAACCCCGACCCGTCGCCGACGCACCAGCGACGTCGGCGATGAGAAATACGGGCTCCACATCGACCCGCATCGCCGATGAATAGGCGATGCGGCGCGCGCGATCATCCGACAACGGACGCCCTGGACCGACTCCGAAGGCCCAGGCTCATGAAACAACAACACTACCTGACAGTCCGTTCAAAGTAGCGAACCTGTTACATAACGCCCATACGCCGAAATCAACATTCATGTATGTTGTGCGTGCATGTGTAATATACCTGCCTATGCCCATACGAGTGTTGTCCGAGCCGTCAGATGTTCACAACTGAAAAACACGGCGGAGGATCACCCCCTGACTCGGCCGACGGCGCTGCCAGAAGCTGCGCCACCGTTCGCTTGAGGCACGAATTGGTTTGTCCTCGGGCCCCTTGCCAACATTCGTGGAGCCCCAGTCCCTAAACCTGAGCCCGAGATTCACAGATCCCCGCGGGGGCCCGCGCCCTGTCGCGCAACGCATTATTGCCCAAAACAGCCACCAAAGCGGGCCAAGAGGACCAGAAATAGGGCCTCACAGAAACCCCGAGTCTCAGCGCGATCGGTCCAAGACGGCCAAGATGGCCCCAAGACGGCCGAAACACCTTTCGATGCGCCCCATGGAACAGAGCAGGACACAGGGCCGACTATCGCCCCACAGGGGGCGGCGGCCCAAGGAGGGCACAGCGGGGGCGCCTCAGCGCCTTACTGCGCGAAATTAACAACTGCGGCGTCGCATCAACGTTTCCGCTCCCCCTCTGGGCGACAAGCGCAGCCAGCCACGCCCCGTTGAAATTTTGGTTTTGCCACAGAACGCACATCCGAATACTTTCGCCGCAATCGGATTCGGGCCGATTTGCGGCGCCCCTTGATCATCATCACGAGTTCTGAATTTTGCTGAGCGGTGCCCCACATTATTTGTTGCCCGTTGGATGGAATGCCCGCGGCCCCGCAGATGCGCCCCTGCGTGAAAAGGAGAAACAACAAATCAACAACAAGACGTGGATGAAGATGACGCGGGTGGCGATTATCCGTGACATCCTCTCTGCGTTCTTCTCATTTTCTCATCGAGTCTGCGCGACAGTGCCCATGTGTCAGAACCGCGCAGCGTCGTTGCGTGACTGTGCTGTCGAAGCGCCTGAACCTTGAGTTTAGAGAGGCTGCCGGTCTGTCAAATCTGCCCGGTGCTGAATGACGCATTCCCAAGCACGACAAATCTGATGATCGATCTCGGCGTTGTGGGGTCGATCGAAACTCGCCAGCCGGCCGAGGCACTTGACGCTGCCACTGCAGGGGGCAATCTTGACACTCATAACATCGAGGATCGCGTTCGCCTGCTTCGGTCTGCCAGCGCCCTCGGCGTTGCTCAAAGTCTTGGCCTTGAAATGGTTGAGCTCGAGGCCAATTTTGCGGCTGCGCCTGTAGCACCCCTCAGCTCAGCTGCGAGTTGCCGCAGAGTAATTGCGACAAGGAACATGTCGCTTGCGAAGTGCATGTTGGCGAGCCGCGTAAGGCCCGCGCAACCCACCTTCAAGCCCGGCCTTTAGCCGGCCACTTCTTGTCGACTGCGCCCACAACTCTCAAAGGCAGAAAACAAAACGTAATAATGCTGAGGTCATCTCCTTGCTCCGTGCAACGATGGATCTCGTTAGACTGCGATCCGTTGGCATTATGGCAGCCTGCCCTGCGTGGAGCTCTCTGGAGGAGCATCGCTTTTCCCGAACGAACGCCCTGTCATGCAGCAGCTTGCGACTGAAAAGTGTGGTCGGGGGGGAAAAAACGAACGCCTTCGTCAAGTCTAGAGCTTCGATCCAAAAATAACGCCGCCATCGGGCGCAACTTTCTTGAAGAAACGACGAAACAAACGTATGATGAACAATGCTGGAACCTTTGCTAAATCTGGCCGGGCCCAGATTTTGGTGCTCGCCCAAAAGCGCGCAGCCTGTCGTGCAAAATCTTGGAAAACAGCTTGCGCAGCAGAAAGGATGAATGTGATTGGCTGGATACTGTTGGCGTCTGAAACGCTCCCAGACTGGAGCAACACTGTCACAAATGAATGCTTGCAAGACTCGGGCAAACAAACCGTCGGCGAAATGTTATCAGACAGATGAAGAAGGTTAGTCTCTACCGTGTCGCCGCCTTTTTCCAGCCTCTCTGCGCGCGCCCCGTCTTGATTACAACGCTTCCCATTCGAAGTGTCTAGCTGTACTCGCACCCACTGTCGCTGCAAATATTACAACGTTGCCGGGAATCAGGGTAGGTTCAACGTTCAACTGCGCCACTCTCGGCGGCGTGTGCAGCGCAGCATAGAAATCAGGAGGCAACGTTCTGGCGATATGTCATGGTCGCGCCAGCGCTGCCTTTCATGTGCGAGGTGACCTGTCTCTTTTGGGTCGTCTCGATGTTGTGGGTACTCATCATGCCTACGAAATCCGCAGCGACTTCATGGCTGCGAGCAGAAACCATCTGTCTTCCCAGAAGCCAAACTTCCTCACGAACCTGCTTGCTCAAATCTGCCCCCCGTGGTCCGCCGCGGTTGCTGCGCCGTCGCAATCGCGCAAGCAGACGCTGCAACTCTACGTCGCCATGAGACTGGAGCCCTGCATCTCTGCCGGCGCGCGCGCGAAGCCGATGCAGCCAAGACTTCTGCGATGCGTTTGCAGTTCGCATCTGGATTTGTTGAAGCGCCGCGCTGCCAGCGACGTAGACCTCATCGGCGAAACGTTTGGGATCCACGCTCCTCCATGCAGTCCGCCCATTGCGGCCTGGCTTCGTTTCCTCCTTTGATGTGGGCTTTCTGGCAAAACGCATTGTGCTAGCGACGGGTCTGCGGCCGGCCTCAGGAGCATCCCCGCGAGGGCCACGACAGACCAAAGACATTTAGTGTCCTGAGGGTATTCACGCGTGGGGGTTCTCCTCCTTTCGAGCTTCCGACGCTCCGCGACGTCCCGATAGGCCTCCGACGCCGCCCCAGGGCAGCCCGAGAAGCTGCCAAGAAGAGCCAAAGACGGCCCCGAGACGGCCCCAGAAGGCGCCGGAGACAACCCAAGAGGCGCCCAACACCGCCCAATCTAGCCCCAAGATGGCCCACAGATGGGGAAACCGAACCAGAAA